ACAGAAAACACACACACTCAACAGGGTAAAGCAGTGGGAAATTGGTAATGAACCCATAACCTATTCTGACTCATATACATGTTCATTGCCTAAAAAGTCATACAAACCAAGAAACATAATCTTATGTGTTAAAACTAAACAGAATGTTATTATACCCTTAGGTTGCTGGAAATGCTTTGTCCGATATATGTCCCTTAGTGCTTTGCAAAAATTATACTTTTTTATGATGCAAACTCTACATGTAAATTTTATTGTATTCAACTTTTGTTTATTTTATTGTAGACCTATTTTTAACATTTTTAATTTGGAATCACTGATTATTGTTTCTACCCCAACACAATTTGGAATTGCCAACTATTTACAGTCTCTGATCTCCTGCAATGACTCCTACACCCTAGTGCGAAACAATCAGACACACAAGACGGCTCCTTCTAAACCCATCTGCAGAGTCAACATCAAGTCTCCACAATGCCTGACAGGAGAGTTAGTGTTGATTGGAGAAGCTGCATGTCTCTCCCTGATGTCAATACAAAAATATGCCAGGAGTGGAGTCTAGCCACCATATACTTTATTGTATATACTGTACTGCAAAGGAACAAGTAATAGGTTGATTTAATTCTGAAAAGAGAAGAAAGAAAACATGTTCCTGCTGTGGAGCCTTCTTCGGGTGTGAGGTTCCTTCCTTCCTTCCTCACACCTGAAGAAGGCTTCACAGCCGAAACATTGTGTTCTTTTTCTTCTCTTTTCAGCATGGAATAAACCTATTACTTGTTCCTTTGCAGCCTACGCATGCTGACGCAGCTACCCACCTGAACTACATAGTATATACTGTACAAATATGTGATTAAATAGAGTAGTTGCTAAACAGTGATTAAATCTATAAAATGACAGCAACCAAACAAAATTAAAATTCATCATTATAACATATGCTGAGAGACATTAACATCTAAATAAATGTTATTGTTTCCAAAATTACTGGTTGTGTTTCAGTACATGACTAACTCTAATGCAAAGGGCCTCTTTCCTGATGGATCGCCACTTTACACTTCACTTGGACTTCTCAGCAGAAATAAAACTAAATGGTTAAAAGAGACAATTGTACAAAGTATTTTAACATAAACCGGTGGGCAGTCACTCTATCAATCTCCACAAGTGTATCCTGCAGGTTTTGTCATTATAAAAAAGACAAAGAAACCTTTGAGCCCCTTAAAATTATAAATCAGGGAAAACTATGGCTTTAGCAGGGAAGTCACTTAAACCCATCTTAAACAACAGACTCAATTACATTCACAACACATCCCAGTTCTACTTACTACATGCGTAATCTCATCTACAGACTACAGGCTACTTATTCAGTAATTAATTAATGAGTGGAAAGGGACAGATTTTTAATGTTACCTCCAGTGATTATTCTTGCTGTGCATTTTCAGAAGTCTCCTTCCCAGTCTCCACTTCATCCAAGGTCAAGGGGTGTGACTTCACAATGTTCCTCTTTTGGTAGTTAGTTGGAAGGGAAAGGAATCACAAAGTGCACAAAGGCCAATAATGCATTGTTAAATTTACCAGCAGTTGCACTCCTGAATTAATTCCACATAGTAGACTTCTTCCATGGCCTTTATTTTTTGTTCAGTTAAAATCCAGAAGAAACTTTAAAAAAATGAAGTACCACTGAGAATTCTGATCTGCATCCCAAAAAAACTCAAGTTCCTTCCAGTGATGAACATAGCTTTGCTTTGGATAAATTCAGTACACATCCATGTAGCCCAAACTAGGCATGTGGAGCATTGATTTGCTGATAGCTTCTGCAGTCCCGCCAGCATGATTGGCACTAATGAGAAAAGTTAGTGTTTTAATGAGAGGTGGAGAAAGCCCAAACCATGGAAGAAAAAAGCTGGAATCTGGAGATTAATATTAAATCTGAAATCGATAAAACAAATAAAAATAGATGTTATTTTAGCATTCGTTGTTGTAAAAAGAATACATGCTTGTAACATGAAACAAACATGGATGGACACTTCTTTCTTGCTAAATATTGCTGTTCTAAAGTAAAGTGCATAAATTAAAAACATGTACAAATTTACAAATATATTTTATGTTGATTATTATAAATGTAGCCATTTAGGAATTCTGGAAAAAAAAAATCTTTCTATAGCCGTGCTAGGTTTAACATTGTGGAAGACCCCCTACTGTAAATATATTTAAAAAAACAGCACTTAAATAGGGTCATTTATTGGTTTGCTTTGTGGACACCCTTTTCCAGGGAGACGTTGAAAGTTACAAACAATCAACATCTAATATTGTGGACAAAATATCGTAGATAACACAATGAAGCAAAGTGAACACAATTGACAAATGTTCAATATAGAATATATACTGTAGGAACAGATAACTACAGGTGCAAAGTAAGGGGTAAAGGTATATATGTATTATATTAACATCAATATGGTATTTTTCATGAAAAATACCTGGTCATGTCATTTCATTAGAGCACTCTAACACCTACAAATTCAGTCTTGAATTTGAGAAAATAAAATAGAACACTCTAAGTGCAAGACCTCCTGACAAGCCCAGAGGTATTTTTTTCCATGTAAAAGGACCAGTGTCAAGTAAACAAATATCATCTTGGGTGAAAATTCCTACTAACCATTTGTTTGGGTTAAATGTTATTCACATCAATTAACTTTGATTTCATATAGGTATGTGTCTTGTGTTTAGAGGTTTGGGATTAACTTGACTGTTGCTAGTATTTTAAAATGTAGGCACAACACCTATCAGCTTTTGTATTATACTGTAGGAAACAATGAAAAATAAACAATTGATTCCTCTGTCCTTTACTTCATTTCTGTGACTAATTATTACAGAATATTGATTTAGTTATAACAAACGTGTCTACACTTCTACTGTATACTTAAATGTTTTCTGTCTAAACAAAAGTAGGGTTAATGCTCAAGATTTTGTTTAGGGTAGTAAAAAATGAATACATACATCAGTTTTACTATACTGATTATTTTTATTTAATGCAGCTTTTAATTTTTAATTCAATGTCCTGGTGTATGGTTGTGAAGCAGTAATGTACTGTATGTTTTTGAAACTGCTTGTTTTGGCATTGAAGACACTGTTCAGTTAAAACAATAACTTGTATGTTTAAATAAGCACCTGTGCAATACCTTGTGTCTCTATAACGATAGAACGTACCAACATTTTGAAAGAATGGCCTTTTTCAATGAGTTATTCAGCTTGAGAAAACATTTTTTTAAATGTTGTTAGTTACCGTATATGCTTCATTTTATTTTATTTTTTCTTCAGGGTTAAATAATTTCATATCAGTTATATCAGTCTCCTCTTAACATAGGCAACACAAAGGCTTGGGCAATGTATTTCAATTCATAATGACCTTTTCCCAGTATATACAATTAAGAAATATGGAAGTAGTTTTGACTGCAATAATTTTTAAAAATCCAATAAAAGATGTAAGATTGTTAAAATAGTTTACAGAACTCTAACATTTGCTGATTACTTAGAAAGTCTATATTTATATTGTAAAGTCTGTTAGACTCAACTTTTGAGGTGCTCAGTCTTGGAAACCCCTTACTTTAAAATACATTTTTTTCCTTATGAAACACAAACCCTAATGGGACCTGCTTTTCACAGAAAAGTTTGATATGGCAAATATTAAAAACAAAACATTTGCCTTCAAACCCATTTTGTGACCGAAAATAATACTTACTAAGTTACTTCCGGTAAATACTAATACAGTACTTTGGATAAATATTTAGACGACGTTGTACAGCTATTATTTTCTGACAACAAGCCTCAGACAAGAACCTTAAAATATGTAGAAACCAAGTGCTGTTATTATATATAGGTGGTACCCGTCTTGCTGTTCTGCAATACATTACAACCATCTCCTTTCAGCCTCACTGGCCATATCTCATTTGAATGTGGCTGCACTTAGATTTTGCTTGGGGGCTGTCTCATCAAAGTATCACTGGCTGTAGAAGGCAGCTTGCAGTTGGCATAAAGGATGTGTCAAATTCATGTTGCTCTGCTAATCAGCTTTGCTAAGCCAGATACAGGACAGACTATGTGAAGAAATTTAGAAAATGGCATACAGCATGCAGTGTGTATGTGCTGGTGTGTAGCTTCTCAAAGACTTTAAATAAATTCAGTGTTTGGTGAGGTGTTAGTGACCCCTATGGGTAGATATTTGTGAAAACTTGTTTCATCATGACTTTGGATGTGTTTTGAGCTTTTGTTTGTCCTTCCATGATGAACACACACAACTACTCACACAAGAAAATCAGTTGTGCAGACACAAGATAGTGTCCATCCTCAATCTCAGCTCAAAATGCTTAAATGTACATCTTATTATTTTAGAAGGCCAATGCGAGCAGAGAAGCTAGCTTTGTAATCATTTTATATGCATGTGAACAAAAGCGAAAAGAACAACATTGAGAGGTTCCATTTGTGTGAGCCTAATATGAACACTTGCCTTTTTCTGTATATGTGTTATTATTAATATTGTTATTGTAAAGTGTTAGGAGGTTTATTTTGCATGCAGGTGATTCATTAATTGAACAGCAGTTTTTCTCTCCCAAAGGGAACAGTGGAGAATGTTTCACAGCCTGAAAAAATGGCAGGATGAAAGAGCTAATAAGTTGAATAGTGGGCAGATAATAACTCTGACAGTCGAGATCCCTGCATATGTATACCACCCTGTCTCTGTCAGTAATCCTGGCTTTGGGGAGCTGAAGTTTCCTAAAGATGTATTAGTGTCTTCAACACATGTGCTCTTGTGCACTTATAATCCCTTTCACCAGCTTCTTAGCTGGTTGCTTTGTATTTAAATTTTTTCTCTCTGACCAACTAAATCCCCTTGGATGAAGTGACAGGAGCTTTTCAGCACCCAGAGCTGGGTGACAGCTGGTGGGAAGGCTTTTGAAAGAGTGCAAAGTGTTGCTTGCTAGCTTTCTTCGAGAACAGTGTCAGGCACCAGCTGAGCGATTTGTAAGTTCCCAGTCAGGCCGCAGGCAAAAGCAGAAGCAAGGTAGGAGAAGTGGTATATTAGACTGCGTTACTGAACAACAACAAAAAAATGAAATAAAGAATAAAAGAAAAAGAAAAATCCATAGTTTTCTGGGTTTGTTTGGATCAGGATGGATAATTTACTTTGTTGTCCATTGTAACATTGTCTTCAGTTTCAGATCATTTTCAAATGCAGCTGTCAGAAAGGGCCTCACTGAAAGGGGTTGTTACCAGGTAAGAACATGGGAATCTTGTGATTTGAAATGACAAGTGACTAGCGAGAAGGTTCCTTACTTACAAAGATCATGTGTCTTCTGCTGAGACTCCATCTATTTCCCACTATGTATCTATCAATCTGCTTAATAAGGAATACTGCTGAAACCCATATGTGCCTGGTTAATTAGCCATAAAATAAAATGGAAACCTGCAAAAGACACAGCTGATTGAAATTATATAACAGGTCAGCTGCTGTAAAAAAATGTTTAGTATTTGCTGATGTGTAGGAGATATGCACATACCTCCTCCCCAGAAAGCCTTTAAAATGCTATTTGCCAATTATTATTTGAACATAGTGTGACAATCTGTTCTATACAATTTGATATCACATGCAATAGTTAATTTTTTTGTAATGTACATACATTAATAGTCCTCAACTAACAACTTTGCACACTCTCTGTGCAAGGATGTCAAAAGAATATACAGTTAAAAAATCAGCCTAAATTCATTTCATGCACCTTTCAGATCTTCTTGAAAAAGTACGACTTGTCATTCTTACTGAAAAACCATTGCATCTGTAAGTGTGAACTTCTTTGTTGAGGGTCACATGTTTTGAATACGTAATCTTGTTCACACATACTGTCTGACACAGTTTTACAGATTTTCAGATGCATTTTCTGTTACATCATAAAAGATTGTGTTCACTGCATCCTGGAGCTCATATATTAGCTGTATAGATATAGCAAAAAGGGTTATATTTTTATATTATGTTATTGATTTATTATGTGAAATGGCAAGTCAAAGAAAAAGCGGTTATACTGTATATGTGTTGTGCATATACTATTTATACATACAGTATATTCTGTACACTATAACTGTAAATCTTCATTGGAATCAGTGTTATTAAAGCAAGTGATATCTCGGGAAAACTGTCCACTGCCACTCATTTAAGCTTGCAAGAAAGAACTGAGGTATACTAATAAATGATTTTGAATCACGTTATAAGGAACTTAAAGATATTCTGCTAGATATTCATTGTACATGAAACAACATGAATGCAAACCAAATGGATAAATGTCACAAAATAAAAATGTGCCCCAAATGTATTTATAATAATAATAAAAAAACTTTATTTTATATAGCGTCTATAAAGGTGGCTTCTCAAAGCACTTTACAGAATGACAACAACAATAAATAAAAAGAATACACAAGATAAAACACAATTACAATAAACAGAGGAGACCGTAGATGGCAGAACTTAGAAAAGTAGAAGCAGAGGGGTAAAGAATGGAACCAGTTAAGTAAAGGCTCTTCTAAAGAAGAAGGTTTTGAGTCTGGATTTGAAGGTGTTTAGAGAAGGTGACTTCTCTAAACACGCCCCTTGGGCAGAGAGTTCCAGAGCTTGGGGGCATAACAGGAGAAGGCCTTGTCACCCATACAATGTAGACGGGCTTCGGGGACAGTTTGGAGACCAGAAGTGGAAGAGTGAAAGTTGTGAGGTAGGGCGATAATAGTTCAGACGGGTACTGAGGTGCTAAGCCATGCAGAGCCTTATAGGTGAGCATGAAGATTTTAAAGTCCACACAGAATTTGACAGGAAGCCAGTGCAAGGTCTCCAGGATAGGAGTAATGTGATCACTTGTACTAGACCTGGTCAGGATTCTGGCTGCTGAATTTTGGACATACTGCAGTTTGTTCAAAGTAGATTTAGATACCCCAGCAAGTAGAGCATTACAGTAGTTAATTAGAAAGAATGCAAATGTGTTGATCAGCTTTTCAGCCACAGTTAGTGATAACATAGGGCACAGTCTAGCGATATTTCTGAGGTGAAAAAAAGATGTTTTGACAATATGCTGCACATGTGGGTCAAATTTTAAGCCAGAATCACCATTCTTCTTTAAGCAGAAACGTTATAAAAGTCCACACTCCAAAATAACTAGTAATTCACATAAAATAATTGGTTGAAGATTAATTAAAACAGACTATTTCTTTTAAATTTCTCATTTTAGTTATGCTGTTTATGCAATCTTATAGCACAAGGCCTTAAATTGTCTTGACTGAAACCAGGCACTTTGAAGTAAGTGTCACAGCTTTTTCACAGCTTAGTGCAAGCTGTAATTAAAATTACAAGTGCTAATATCTTTGGAGAAAAGATGTCCATTGTTCTTCAGCAATATTACAGAAGATAAAAGACAATACTGAGCATCAAAGGAAATTATCACTCTAAGCATTCATTATTTAAAATTATATATAATATATATATTGGGATATTTAATAAAAGGTTTAGGAATCATTTTACTTAACCATTAATGATTAACTGTGATCCACTTAGGGTACAGGTGATGAGCTTCATAAAATAAAATAAAAATTAACAGAGAAAAATTATCATATGCCTTGTTTATTAGAAAAAGTTTTCATGTCATCGATACGTTGAAAGCTCAACTAAGTCTACATACTGTTACTCATTATCTGAAGTGTTCTAAGAGCCAGCAGTTTCTAACCTGGCAAAGACCTACAACCGAACAGTCCAGAAATGATAGGACACTTTCTGAGAGAATACAACTCATGAAATCCTTGCCAAGATCCACGTCACCCCTCTCCATCTTCGTAATCATTTTCACATTGCCCTGCTTGAGAAACACCAGGTCACAACAACCCACACATTTGATGTTCTCATGTGAGAAGGCAGCTAAATGGTCACCTTTTAATGTCAGATCACCACAAAGGCATCCAGTGCTCTCAAATTAGTGCATTGATGCAGCAGAATGAGGTGCTGTGAGCAATGCACAAGGTGGACTTGCAAATGGGGGAGCCAAGCTGGCTTTTGTGAAGAAGCAGAGGTTTTGAGCAGACTACTCTGATGGATGTCAGTGAGTGTGATGTGTGATGATGTATCATGGTCTGAGCATGGGTATCTAGCTGCTACAGAACTCCACTTGTAGTGATTGATGGCAACCTGACTGCACAGTGCAGTCAGAGTCCTGGGACCTGACTTGCTGCCCTCACTGCACACTCAGCCTGACAGGATAGAACATGTCCTCATGGTGTACAGCTGTACAACTTCTTGTGAGATGAGAATGTGTTAAGTGAATAGTTCCGTACATGAGCCTTCCTGAACATTTGTCGGATGGGCTTGGCCAACTGTGCAATGTAGGACTCAGACACCGGTGAACAAGAACAGGCTAGAGAGAAAGAGAAATAAACAGCAAAGCATGCATTGCAGATGTGGAGCTGGCATTGCTTGCAGTAGTGGCCACACATGCTACTACACTGTGTGTTTCATAGTAGTTAACAAATAATAATCAGTAATAATAATGAACACTTGTTTAATGAAAATGTTAATGCACTTTTCCTGGTAACATTGTTTTGCAGTTATAAGTATCTTTTGATACTCAGTATGCAGTACATCTAAAATGTCAGTATTTCAGTAACCTATTGATCAACAAAAGTACATTCAACACAGGAACTAACCATGCACTGTCTTACTGCACACTTAGACTGAATTATCCTAGTTTATGGATATGTTTGATGTATTTCTTATAAACAGTTCTGTGTCCTCTCTAGTAGTGGACAAATTAACCAGGATTACTTGACAAGCCATAGACTGAGCATCTAAAACAAGTTTGGACATAATCCCATGAAATCCCAAATGTATATAGAAAAAGGAAATTAGGTTTAAAAAGATAATACTAAAATATTAAATTCCAGTAATAGAGTTAGAATACTGAAATCCTTTGAAACATGCAGAGAGTGACTAATAAAACATCAGTACCAAATCAATTCTTTCAGAGCATGTCAAAAAATATGTTGTCTGACAATACACTGAAGAAAAAAAATGTGTACAGTACATTGCATTTGTCACTGAGAAAATCCTCAGGAAGATCAATTTCTGGCAACCGATGACAAAACTAATGTTTTTCAGCTGGAATGAGTTATGGAGTGCAACTCCATTTATTGTTAATGTTTTTATTCAGCTGTATAAGGCAACTGTTCCAACTGTCATGAGGAAAAAACTGCAGGAATTTGTCAGCTAGGCCAACCAAGAACAAACATAAAAAGGGCATGAAATCTATAGTGATGTCTGTCTGAAATATACTGAACAAGTGTGGGAGAAAGAAAGCTATTGGGTTTTGCTGGAGTACTGTATATTCTCCTTCTCACAATTATGTCATTATCCTATCACTTATCGATGTTTATTTTCAAAGACACAAGCCTTATAATGAAACGATCAGTAATGACAGGTAACTAAAATCTATTACTTAATTTCATCCATCAACTAAGTGATGACAAAAGGGAGGTTTTGACCATGCTGTCCTCCTTCAAAGTCATAAAACTGCCACAGCAGTAAACCATAACTATGAATTGGAAGAAAAAGCCCCATTAGACAGTAACACCCTCTACTGCACTGAAAATCACACAACACATTTCATGCACCCTCAGAATGTTTAAAATGGCTTTACTCACTTTTTATTTGACACCAAGGCTGGCATAATGTACATTTTGTTAAATATAAAAAGCTAATAAATGTAACATTGTAAAAGAGGTCATGCAGCTTAACATGCTTGTCAAATAAAAAGGCATGTTTTGATACAACAGCATTATTAAGATGGACCATGAGACATGTCTGTATATTAGATGCTATAGCCCAGCATGACTAGTTTTCCATGCTCACTGAAAACTATCTACAGAAACACCTTCTGCTTCCTGATATGAATCTGCCTTTACTTAGTTTCAATTTCTGTCCTCTGGCCTTTGCTTGGAATAGTGCCTGAGAATAGCTGAATCATTTACGTTCACATTTCTGGAGACCTTGGTTAAATAAGGAAGAAGACAATTTGGTTTATTGCTTTTTGCAAAAGGCATATTTTTCAATTTAACTCTAAATACTGTTATCATTCTAGTTGTAGCACTTGTACTTTCCTGACTGTATTAATGATGAAAAGAAGTAACAAAGGATTGCCAACGTTTTTTGGTTGATAAACATTTCTTTTATGGTGATACAAAGGACAATTTCTAGTGACCTTATGCATGGACTGGCTACATCTTGTATGACTTCAACAAAACTATGTCTTCTCTTCTGTTTTTCAAACTCGTTTGATGTTTTGTCCTCACAGTTGACAGAGTAATACTGTCATTACCTGATTAGTGGGATGAGCAATGAATGAGTTTGTAAATCTACACATTACATATTAAATACAGAAGTCCATAATTATTTTATTCTATCTACAAAAACACATTGATTCAGAAAAGAAACTTCCATCTACAGTACCTCTTACAATTAAAATCTTACATCAGTCCAGCCCAATCCTATGCTTCTTTCCTCCAGCTGTACCCTACCAAAGGCCTTCACTTCAAGACACACTATCCACCAGTGAAAAAGGATCAGGCTTTCCATTTGTCTTTTGAAGACATTCCATTCAAACAGGAGCTGCCTCCTTCTATGTCCAATGCAGTATTCCAGACCTCAAGGTCAGAGTACTCAGCAGCTGGTCTTCAGAAGCATGTTTTATTTAAATACTATGCATTTCTAAAACTTTGCACCTACTGTATGTTGTCTGGATTGGCATTTTGGGGGGCTAGACTGCCATGATCTACATGAATAGGCATTCAGCATCGGAAATCACCCTACGGCATTTTTTTCTAGAAATGGGTATGACAACAAAGGTTTGGAAAGTTTAAAGGAAAGATCTGGAGAAGGACAAACCACCTGATCCAACCAAGCACTTCTTCATCGTCCTTATAAATAAAATACATCAGGTTTTCCTTCCTGACCTATTCAATTCTACTTATCCTGAGATAAGTGGAATTAATCCATTCATCAGGGTAACCTTTATTTCTGAGATCTTAATTTACATCAGTTTTAAAGTCATTTAAAAAAGTATTCTCATTAAAGTGACTAATAAGTCACATAAAGGTCCCTTTTTAACAGTTTTGGACACAATTTGATCTAAGAACATAGGAAGGGTTAAAAACATGTGGTCATTCACCCCATGTTGGCCGTGGTTGACAGTAGATTGAATTTATCGAAGGACATCACCAAGATATTCCCTGAAAGAAGCAAGGGTCTCGATTTCAACAACATGGATAGGTAGCTTGTGGACCCCAAAAACAAAAGAAAGTACACCCCGTTCTCAATTATAAATTAAATTAGGTTGATATCAAAGCCAGTGAGTCTTTTAGATATCTGAGTCATGTCCCCTCTGTTCCAGATGCTGGCAGCCATGGCCTGGGCGCCACTCTGCTTCAAGACAAGGGAGACAAGCTGAAACTCATGAGGCTAATGGGGCTGGAGAAAGAACGTGCAGCAGGCAAAATGGATTGTAGCAACCAGACCCACAACTTGCTTCAATGTCTCCTTTCAGTGTCACGCACAGCTCGTGACAGGCCGACAGATCAGGACAACCATCCCAACAGTGGAAGCAAAGCTGTTTCCCAAATATAACCGCCACAAGAAGGTGAAAGAGAAGAATGAAAAGGCAAATTATGATTACATATTCTTCTATAATCGGAGTCTTACTGGAATTGCAGCCTAGGCAGTGTGTCAAACACAAGCTGGACGGTGAGAAAAGCTGGAAGACACACTTGTAGTGGTTGTTGCTAAGCCTCCGGAGCCCAGATCCTTCCCTGTGCAAACTGACAATGGCATAATAACCCAAAGGAATAAAGGGCACCTCCAGCTTTTGCCATAGCCAACGGAGTAGCAAGGGATGAAACACAACAACAATGTGTGAGTTGCAGAGCCCAGCACAGAAAAAGATTTCCAAGTGAAGCCCATGGATGGGACAGCTGCTCCTCCTGCAAAAACAGACCAGCCAATCACACCTTGAACAACCTTGAAGAGAACCACTGTAGGAAGAGTGGTCAAACCTGCGGTGAGATTCAGAGACAATGTTACACACGAACAGCAACTGTGCAAAGGGCAGAATAATCTCCTGGGCAGTCTACCCAACAGTCCTAGTTAACACATGTGAAGTGTTGGAGTTGGAAAAGTATGTTAATTTGCAATATTTAGCATAAGAGTTAAAAGTTGTGTTTTGTTCAAACAACAGAAGGAAAATTATGTTAAATGTATATTGTATGTCAAAAAGGTGGGAAGATGTGGTGATATGGAATTGTAATTGGGTAGGAGTTGGTAATTGGGTAGTTGAATGGAAGTGACATGGAAAATGCAAAGTGAAACGTCTTTGTGCTGCCTCTTCAGTTCTAAATAAAACCTTGTTGAAAACCCATTGACAGTGTGGCTCCACATCATGACAAGTCCTGCTTTCTATTTTTTATAAATGCTATTTCACTTTTTATTTATTTCACCTAATTATTTCCCTTTTGGTTTATTTTTGAATTGCTGGTCCATTCTGAAAACCTTTGATTGGTTGGAGAAAACCATTACACACAGTACTTCGTTCAGGAAATAACAGATTCCTTTCTCCACAAATACCTGAAATGAAATACTTTATGATGACTTTTTCACTATCACTTTTTTTTCTACAACCCCTTTTAATCGTCTTTGCTCTTCTGCATTTACAGCATTCCACTGTGACTCCAGAAGCACTCGACTCCCATTTGTGTCACAAATTGTTTATGCTGTACTTTTTAAATCATTATTAATTATAACAAGTAGCACAGCAATTATTGTTAACTGTCACTGATGTCCCTTGACAACTCAAACTCGAACTCAAACTGCTACGTTCCAGTTCCTGAAACAGTAAAAAGAGTAAAATCATTTCAAAGAGAACCTGACAGTAACATGGTTTTCACACAAAGATTATTATCTGCCATTTCACTTAGTCTTATTGGCTAACCAAATAAATTAAATTTCATACATATATGTGATTTTAAAAAGTCCTGGTCTCTGTTAAGGATGAAGACATTTCTCAAGAAAATGAGGTATCGTATAACATTGAGAATCATTGGTTAAAATAATAATGAATGAACAATTGAGATTGCAAGACAATATATATACCAATATGTGAGTGGATTCAGTGACATTAAATTCATTAAAAATAATTTTATTTGGTTGTATTGGGTATTGTTTTCATGTTCCATAATTATGTACATTTAATTGTATGGTCAGGCACCTCTTGTCCAGTAAAATCTGAAGGCCAGAGACAAACACTGGTCCCCATGGCGATTTTCCAATCAAGAAAGATTTAGCATTCTCCAGAGAGACCCAAACTGGCCCCCAGTGCTCAATTTAGACTCATGCCTAGGCAGAGTTGACCCCAGACAGTAATTGAACTCATGACCTTCCAATTCTCCTGCCGGCCATGTAAACCTCTGTGCAATTCAGTTATTGCTAAAAGAAAAATGTGTCCCAGACACCAAAGGAAAAAAAAAGCTTCCATTTTGCAAAGCAAAAATATAAAGTCAAGACTTTCCCCTTTTTCTAAAAAAAAAAAAAAACCTTTTCCTAGAAGCAATGCATTACCATTCAATTAATTTCACCTAATACCTTTTTTTCACAGACACAGGCACTGGCTTACTTTTACTTTTTTCATAAAGGAGCCTCACCTCTGCATAGAAATTCAGGAACAGAAGCTCCAGGCACCAAAGACTGGAGCAGTTACCACTTCAAGGAGATGGTGAGAGAGGAAGTGAAGGCTCAGGGAGGTTTACTTTGTATTGGTGACAGTTATTTTCAAAAGAAAATGCTTCATGGGATATTTCTCACCTCTGTATTTGTAGAAAGCATACAGAGCATATCATTGCTTTACAAATTCAGAAGGCTCAACCACGGCTCTCCTAAACACTTGAACATAAAAGAGTTCCACTATTGTGCTTGTTTTTTATTTAAATGTAATAAAGTTTTTCTTTTACTGGTTGTCTCCTGATAAATCCCTTGTATTACTGCAGACAAACGTATGCTATTGACTCGACAAAGCACCATATGTAATGCCAACGTAAACAATAATAAGAAAAAACAAATTATAAGAGAAAAATGTATTAATTGGAGAACAAATGACAGATTTTCAACAATTTCAAACATTAAAATGTTTTTTCTAATAATGTTTTTAATTTAGTTTTTTCTAAGATGATGACAATGGCCTATAGTATACACAATGGCTCACATATACAGTACATAAAATAGGAAGAAAAGTATGAAGAAATGTATTAAATCAGTGTTTTTCTGCTGCAGTGCTTGGGGCTTCTGTTGAGTCTTAGGGAAGTGGAATAAGATGTAAGTGTATAGAATTGTTTTTCAGATGTTTCTGTCTAGCCCACATCTAATTTCATTCTTTATTCTTCAATTGCTATATTTGATTAATTATTTTCCTTCAACACAGTTTAACACACATAAAGTTGTCTGCTTCCTGGGGATTTTACTTGTCATATCTCAGATTGGCACCACTGGAAGGGCACTGGTATTTTGTGGGGAAGCAATTAGTTTCCTGTGCTTTGCACCCTCATTGTCTTGAATCCTTTCACAGCCTTGACACCCTAACATATCCCCTGACTTCCACATCTTGTAAATTACCTGGAAATCTGTTTATTGTCAGCCATGAGCAATAGAACATACAGAAGCTGACAAGTCACTCATCCATTCCCTTTTTCTCCTGTGCTGGAGAAATGTTAAACAACAATAAAAGGAATAACTACTGAGAAGGATCTGGAACTTTTTTGTCTTTTTAAACAGAATTTACATTGTTCTGCAACTTATAAATTATAATCTTTGATTGCACGGTCAGCACAAGTTCTTTCTGTTTGATCAGCACATCTATGCTGTGTTACCTTAGAGCTTAGCAAAGAGGTTTTTTTTATTTTAAATCTCCCATCCCCAGAGAAGAATGAACAATGCAACAATGTGCATAAATGCTTTTTGAAATACTTACACCCCCTTAAATTGGGGAACCAATATATTTTATTGAATTTTAAAGAGTGATCAAATTATAATGTGCTTTAGTAGACTGAAGGTCAGTCAAACAAGTCTTATGTTCCCTGTACTCTGGCAGCACTATTGATGAAGACCTCAGGAAAAAGAATACAGGAGCCCAAGACACTTTGATGGCCTTTTCTCTGTGTAATTATACTTACTCTTGATAACACTAAAGACATGCCTTATTGGTACTGGCATAGACTGCTTTCCTTTTCACCGGGAGATGGATTGTTTCTGTTGGCCTTGATGGCCTTCAAATTATCTGAGCACGGTAAAGAGAGCAGAGTGAATTTTATTTTAACTCATTTTATTTCTAAATTTATTTCACAGTAGCTAGAAGGCGATGACTGCCCCAGTAGTCACGGCAATTGTTATCTGCAGGACTTGATTACGTTTAGGCCTGGTCTCTCATTTTGAGCAAGACACAGTTAATGGGGAGAGAAATGAAAAGTGCATTGAGTCAGAGTGTGTTTGTGGTAATTTGTGACACCTTCACTTTATTCTCTCTGTTGTTTATTCCTTTCCTTTTCGGTACTGGTTCTGGGGAAGAAAAGAAGGAGATAAGCAAATACAGAGAAAGACTGTTAGGGTTGTTAAAGGTAATGAATCTATATCTCTATCTCTCTTGCCATTGTTGGCAATAATTGGAGCAGTGTTCATCTATAGTGTAAAATGCCAGTGAAGCCCATTTAACAAAACACCTCTTTTTCTGTTATTTTACAACACATTTTTCTTTGACAGCATTAGTTATTTTCACTGAGTGTTCCTGCAATGTAAATTATGATCCATTATATAGGTTACAGAAGAAGCCTTGTGAAAAAGAAGTGATATGAAAGTGACAAGATTATGCTGATTAAAATGAGAGAAGGAAACCATTCACAAGGAATCAATGGAAAGACTACGTGCGTTTCAGTCATAAATAATACTGATTTGAGTCAATATTTAGGAACAAAATGAAAATTCAGTAAAATATTTCCTTTAACAGTATTTTGTTTTTCTTTTTATATCATACTGTATGTCCTTTTAATGATTTGATGTAGAAATCAGGAGTTTTAGCTGTTAGCACATGTAAGTAAAACCAATACAAACCAAGACAGTTTGAAATCTACAAAAAGATACTGAACAGGAAATCTCCCCTTCAGAGTTTTTGATATCACATAGTTTTTTTTTTCACCATAATGTAACTGTGGTTTCACTTTTATCTGTTTTCCTAGATTCACAGTCTGTTGGTTCAGTATGTTTTGTTGAAAAGAGGCAAAAGATTACTTTTTTGATAGGTATTTCTTGTCTCATTATAACTGCTTGCCTACCGAAAAATATTTTAGCAGTTACTTGCAATAAATAAGCTGTGCACTTCCAAGTCTTTATTAGCCCTACATAATGAATCTTGTAAACAGGCTTATGCTTATACTTGAAAAAAACAAGCCATTTACAATATTAAAAATATTTAATGTACATACAGTAGGTTGGAAAAGAAACTGTCCAGGAAATCAAAAGAAATGGAATAAAGATGTTTTATGAGAATCTAAAGTGTTAGTGTTTCTTTAGTCCAATATTACAAAAGAGAATAAGAGAGAATTTACATCTCATGAAGCAATGCAGTGACTGAAAATTTACGGTTTAGGTATTATGAGAGGCCATAGATCTAACCATGCAGGAGTTTAGAGTGCTAAAGTGGCAGTAAGATCAATTCTAAGAAACGCTCTTCTAGAGTGCATTCTAATCGCCATCCATAAGACCAGGCTAACCCAAATTTTTAATGTTTACCTTGACTGACAAAACGCCAGAGATTGTACTGGGGAGTTGTATCAACATGCACACTGAAAAGGAACAAGAACAGTTTAATTCCAGACAGAAAAGTAAAATTTTTTTCATCCTTCTTTTCATCAGCAAGTTACTTTTAAGATTTTCCCTTAATACAAAAAAGAAAGATTCATATTTGACTGTGCATCTTTTACCAGGTCAACAAATACAGTAAATGTCATTGACATTCAATTAGAGGCTGTGTTGAAATCTTCATAAACTGCATAATAGGGTTGTTTGTGCAGCACTCTTAATATCGGAAGTCAATTCTCTGGTTGAAGACTATTCCATTAATGACCTCTACAAACCTGTAGAGTTATTGGTGCTTTTTAGTGTGCTGGAACCCTTCTAGTTCAATAAGCATTATAAGCATGGGAAACAGCAGGGAAGCAGCAGGTTCAATGTGTGATGGACGTTTATTATTTACATGAAAATATATTCCACTCCAGAGGGCGAGAGACTAAAGGAGTCTTACAAGAAGAAGAAATATAAATTCAATCCATAAGGGGATCTGCTTCTAGATATGAATAAGA